TTTTTTATTAAATTTTGCTGTTTTAATTTGAGATATATCATTACTGAACATCTTTAGCCTGTGGAAATTTCTTAATTTTTTAAACATCACCTTAACTTGGCTTAAATCAAGTGGTGTCCAACAATATGCAAAAATAATTAAATGAACCTACACCTATTGTTCACCAGACGAAGAGCAGCCGTACACTGCGGTTTTTTTTTATTTTTACCATCTTTTTTTATAATTTTTTCTAACCTTTTAAAAAGTCGCCGCAATATACGAGGCATGTTTTTTAAGTAAGTACCGTTTTGCGATTCCGCCGCCGCAGCGCTACGGTCGGCGTTCCGCGCATGCGCGCTGGTTACCTACATCTCTTGTCTATGCACAGACGCCAGTACAGTCTGATTCTTCATTGTATACGTTGTTTATTGAGTGTTTAAGATGCCTCCGACAATCGTGAGCCCCGCCGCTTGTGAAATACGGGCTGTCATACGATTTCTTAGTGCTAAAGACGTAAAACCGATCGATATTCATCGTGAGATCTGTGAAGTTTACGGACAAAACATTATGAGTGATGGAATGGTAAGGAAATGGGTGAGAGCATTTAAAGATGGCCGCACAAATGTGCATGATGAAGAACGGAGTGGGCGTCCTTCGGTCGTTAATGAAGATTCGGTGCAGAAAGTGGACAAAGAGGTGAAAGAAAACAGACGCTTTACAATTTCATCATTGTGCGACTACTTTCCTCAATGTTCTCGTAGTGTTTTGTATCGCATTGTGACCGAGAACTTGAATTACCGGAAATTGTGTTCACGTTGGGTTCCGAAAATGTTGATGGATTTGCACAAAACCCAACGTTTAGGCAGTGCATTGACTTTCCTTGAGCAGTACCACAATGAAGGTGAAGATTTTTTAGACAAAATTGTTACTGGTGACGAAACATGGGTGGCCTACGAAACACCAGAATCGAAACAACAGTCCATGGAATGGCGACATTCATCATCACCCAAAACAGTGAAGTTTAAGCAAACAATTTCTGCCCGGAGAATCATGTGCAGTTTTTTGGGACAGAAAAGGAGTATTGCTAGTGGAGTTTCTGCCTCGTAATGAGACAGTCAAGGCAGCATCTTATTGTGAGACATTGAACAATCTGCGCCGTGCAATCCAAAACAAAAGACGTGGCAAGTTGAGTAAGGGTATTGTTTTGCTGCATGATAATGCCCGTCCACATGTGGCTAATCGGACCAAAGATCTCATCAAATCTTTTAAATGGGAAACTCTGATCATCCTCCATACAGCCCTGATCTGGCGCCCAGTGACTACCATTTATTCCTGCACTTGAAGAAACACCTGGGCGGTCAGCGTCTTCAAGACGATAACGAAGTCAAAACAGTTGTGATACAGTGGTTAACCAGTCAGGCGGCAGAATTTTATGAGGAGGGTATTGAAAAACTGGTGCCACGTTATGACAAGTGCCTCAATATTCACGGAAATTATGTAGAAAAGTAGATTAAGGTATAGGCTTTCATGTAAAAATAAAATTATTGCGATATCTTTGCACGTTTTTTTTTAATTCCAAAACGGTACTTACTTAAAAAACATGCCTCGTATCATTCTATTCAGAGTGTCACTTTCTATTGAATAAAGTAAAAATATGGGGGAGCCATAGTGAGGGTGCCATTTAAAAATCAAAAGTTGTAGTCATTTCCGGTTAAACAGGAAGTGACAAAAAACAATTGAATACGTCAATTAATCCTAATTTGTTATATACTAAAGTACCAAATCTCGTTTTCTTATCTGAAAAAATAAAAAAGTTATAGGGGTGAGCCACTTTCGAGATGCACCCGGTATACACACAATTTATACTGATTACAACACACAATTAACTATTTATAAAATCCTTCGTCAAATTGTCACGATTCACAATTTAACTGTATTTTTCAAACTACAAAACAGGCGCGACAGCTGAGCGCAGCTTTTTATATAACCTAGCGGATGTTTCTGGAACGTTTAAAATTATCAGTAATATTCTGCCTCCTACTAGTAAATTCTGCTGCCTGCGTCGCTTGTCTACATGGCTAAGAGATGGCTCTTCAACAATGACCTGTATGAATAAAAATGAGTAAAACCTTCTAGTTGCAAAACTTGAAGTATATGCTATATAGTTTATGAATAAAAATGTAAGTAAAAGGTTTTGCTCAAACTTGTATTAGATGAAGCATGAGCATCTACTACTACACGTTTAAGTATTTGCTCAACTTGTTATGAATAAAATGTATGCTTTGCTTACTTAGTTGAGCATATGCTCCAAAATTTTTGCATCTCGTTAGTAGGAGATGCACCTTGTAATAAGCTGGTCATAAAATGGCAGAATTTGTGAATTTACGTGAACAGAAGCAATACAGAGTGCGAAGGGAAGCTAATTGGCGAGATTTTAAATCTCTTTACAGATTTCAAGAAGAAAATGTAAATTGGATGGCAACGTACTTTTTGGGAGAAAATCTCTTGAAAGAAGAGGCGCTCTTTCTTCAAATCATAAAATGAATATTTTCTTGCGATATATGGCCAATCCTGGATTTCAGATGGGTGTAGCAGAAGAATTGTAAATCACTCACTCGACTGTTTCAAAAACAATTTCATTTGTAATGAACAAAATAGTTGAAAAGTCCCATTTATGGATCAAATTTCCGTCAACCCAACCCAAAATAAACGAAGCACAGCAAGCGTGGCTAGAAAAATTTCAGTTTCCAAGTGCTATTGGAGTGATTGATTGCACGCACGCGCACCGTTCAAATTTTGAAACCGAATCAACACGGTGATGAATACATCAACAGAAAGGGATTGGCGACTTTAAATGTGCAGGCAACATGTAACTCAGTGGAAATGTTTACTAGTGCTGATGTTAGTTGGCCGGGTTCTGTACACGATGGAAGAATTTGGAGGAACTGTGATATACGTGTAACTATGCAACAGTTTCCTGGTGCAGTAGTACTGGGTGATTATGGTTATGGCTTATGAATTTTGGTACGACTGATATTGGAGATGGAGAACTACCCTCTATAAAACCGTCCCAGATACTGGCTTTTGTCAAAGCCCTGGGACTGTATGATGAGTTATGATTCAAGAAAGGGGGACACAATGGATCTGTAAGGTCGAAGTGATTAACCCCCCTCCCACTCATTCTAAATTCTAAAAAATGGTTATGGCTTAGTACTGTGGCTAATGACTCCGTTTAGAAACCCTAATAACGCATTGGAAAGAGCTTATAACAGACTGTTCAGAAAGAAAGAAAGGGTTACAATTGAAAGGTAAAAAATGTCTATACCTATGTGGCGGATTCATCTCTTCAAAGAAAAACCTGTATGGGTATTTCGCAGAAGTGTTTACAAAAAATAACTATTTTATTTTGTAGATTTTCTTGCAGTGCAGTGGCGAAATACCCATATAGGATTTTTTTGGGGAATTGAAAGGTGTTTTGGCCAACTCAAGCGCAGGATTCCAGTTTTGAAATATATGTGCCGACTTAAATTAGAAAAAGTTCCATCCGTCATTATTTGTTGTATCGTGCTTCACAATATTGCCAAATACTTGGGAGATGCTGATTTTGAATATAATGCAGAACCCGACGACAATTATCATAACGGTTGTGCATGTTTTTTAAGGCCTCGTTTTTTTTTATTTTTTATATGTGGAATTTGTGATTTGCTGAGGTTTTAAGGCCTTTCTTGCAATTGAATTGCTACTAGCAGATTGATACCTTTTTCTTCCTCAATCCCCTCATCTGAAGACATTTTAATTACACTGAATCAAAACACGGTCAAATTAATGCAGACGCAACTCGAGTGTACGCTAACTTTTGCAAGTTTCGACAGGAATGACCAGGCGCAAATGCTCATTTTATTGAAACAAATGCTCTTGAGTATAAGCCAATCATTATTCATATCAACTCGAGTAGATGCTTATACTCCGACCTGTTACTCTAAGCTCTTGCTTGGAGTGTTTGTTCATACTCATGAGCATTTGCTTTCTTTTTATTCATACGGGCCATGTCCTCAGGTAGTCCTCAACCAGCAATACACGTTGCGGTTTAAACCGTTGCGACTACTACAGATGTCGCAACACACCTTGACAGTATAATAAGTGAAAAAAGATACATTTTGGTGAAAGTAAGCTAATTACTAAAAAAATATATTTATTAAACAACAAAATATTATGGTTATTAATTCTGTAGAGTTTTTAAAGATTTCTTATATTTGTACTTACTAATTCTGAAAAATTTTCAGAATGAATACCTAAATAGAAATTCTCCTTTGCAAGTGTAAAATTAATTCAAACTCTAGTGTGTACAATGCAACAAAATTTTGGTATACTGATGATAAAGAATATACTAGACATTTTGTTATATTGTTAATTTTTGACCACAAATATTAAAATAATAACTGAGAAGTTGTCGCCCGTCGAGTGAGATCCACCCTGTACACGGCTATGCAATTCACCGAGCCGTCAATGTTACAACTGCGTTAATACGTCTGGCGGTTACCGCCTCATGCTCTTTCAGATGTTTAGCAACAAAATAAAGAAACCTGTTATTTATAATATAAATATAACAGTTTTGCCCACCACTGGAGCATGAACCTACCATAAGAGATAAAAGAAAGTGTGTGTTTTGGGACTTGGCGAAATTAAATATTTATATAAATAAAGGTACTTATTTCAAAAATAATAACTTAATTATTTAACACAGTTAAAACTATTTTAACTCTTTTTAAAAACCTTCTTTAAAAAGTTAAACAAATCCGTCCAAAATGCCTTCCATTAACATATCAAGGTTAAATGTCATCATTTCCACCAATAAGAACAATTTCGCGGAAAAAATCGCATTTTCCCTGCATGAAGATCCTAACTTAGGATCGCTTGCGTTCGTCGCTTGTAACTTGCATCGGTCGTTCATAATCGAGCGATGTCGGTTATTTCAAAATTCGAGTACTCGAGTGAATCCCATCACTACTCGATACTATCTTTAATAATTTTTAAAGCTTAAAAATTGATTGTGAAACTTTTAGGTAACAAAACAGTGCTTTTTGTTAGACCACAATATATTAGTGAAACTTACTGGTATTTGCTGTATTTCCCCAGTAGGAGAGACAATTTGTTGAACAATTTGTACATTGCCTGGTGCAGTTTGTGGTATTGTTTGAGGAGATGACTGTAATATGACTGGTGTAGGTGTTGTGTCAGTTGCAGAAGAACTTGTAGCATTCTATAAAAATTGTCAATTTATTTTGGTTTAAATTTTATACTAGTTACCACAAATTCTAAAAAAATAAATCTTACTTTACCTCTATAGCATTTACTTGCACTGTCTGTACCTGAGGTTGTACAATTTGTATTGTACCCTGAGGGGGAGCAACAGTTGTTGTAGGTGTTGTAGATGTTGGTGATGAATTATTTTGTTGTAAGTTTGCATGATGCTGTTGTGCTAATTGGAAATAGTAATGTACCTAAAATTATTTATGTTATGTAAATGTGGCTCATTTTATCGATACTTTGTTACTTGATCTGAATTGTTTGTTTTAGTTCCATCTTCCCTTCTAGGTGGTTTAATGTCTTCCCTTGGTACTATATCAATTAAAAAATCAAACTGGTCATACTTTGTGATCGCCATTGCAATATCATTCCTCTGAAAAAGAATCTTTCAGTTCTCAATTACTTTGGACAATCTTAAAGAAGTTGCAAAAAATGTTTTCTTTTTAAATAACTCTGTGATACATATCTAAATCTGTTAAGAGATATTTAAACATTAAGCTTTAGATCATACAATGTACCAATATACAGGCTGAGTCTTAAACAAGTGCAAATATTTTCAGGAGTTTATTAATTAATAAATTAAATTATTTAATTTAGTTCCATCTTCCCTTTTAGGTGGTTTAATGTCTGCCCTTGGTACTATATCAAAAAAATAAAAATAATAATAAATATTTTTTTTTAAAATAATCTACTGAAGTTTTTTAAACAAAAAAAAAACGATTTTTTTTTTAATTTTAAGTTAATAATCATAATATCTTCGTAATATGGCAACATAAGTAGTAGATTAAATTTACAAGAAAGAAAATCTAGAAAAAATACAGTGGTTCTCAACTTAGTTCTCAATAGACTCACGCTGTATATTGAAACTAACCTGTAATGTCCTTCTTCTGTTGTCCTCAGTATGGATCCATGCCCTCAAAGTTAACTCCCTTATAAATATTTCCGATGCCTTGGCAAACAATAGTGGTGCTTCGGCGCTAATCATTTTAACCTCATCATCCAGTTTCATAATTTTCTTTATCCTTGCTAAAGGTAAAAGTTGCTGTTTCAGATCCAGCTAAAATTTATAAATCATGATTAAGCTAACATAAACCTGAAAACAGTACTATAGAGTTTACATTTCTGATGCTCTGTATCTCTTCCATCACTTTAGGCCAAAACTTGGTCAAAGATATTTGTGCCTCGGTTTGAGCTTGGGGCGAATCATCCTGGGATTCTTTTTGATCAGGCTCGCTGCCATCTCTACAAAACAACATTTCTTTACATAAAATATCAAAATATGTTCTTCGGCTACCATTGTCTTTAAATCAGCCAAAGTTGTTAAATTTTACATGACGTTTCGATTTGTATGTATTGGGCGATATCAAGTAAGGCGAGGCGTTATCAAGAAAAACTGATGTTATATTTTTATATATTTTCTTTTATATACATGAATTTACTTTAAATGATAAAGTTCTACAGATCTGACTCATGTTTCTTAAAATTTACAATTTAAACAAGCTAATTTTGAACTATAAGTAGATAAGAACTATAAGAAAATCATTGTTAATTAATCAAACTTACGAATTTACGAAAAACACAGATGTAGCCATTATATTAGATTAAAAATGGATTAAAATTAGGTCTTTCAATAATTTCTCTTTTTTTTTGGTTATGTCCAGTTATGTCAGGTTATGTTGTCTGCTTGATCCGATGTTGCCAGCTTTTCCAAACCTTATGCAAGGCAGAAAATATGTAAAAAAATATTTTTAAAGCTACAAAGAAAAAACAGAATAAATAGTTTTAAATGTTATAAAATGTCTATGTCGTTAAGCGTCAACACTTTTTTTTATGAGCTATTGAGTCGTTGCTTAAATTTCTTTTTAAACACTTCTCATCTTCGGACTCTGAATCTGATAAATCTTCATCTTTTAGCGGAGCCTCCAGAACTAGAAATTATAAATATAAGTACCATATCCATTAATAGTTACATTAATATTTGGCATTAATACAGTAATTACACACATTATAGTTTATTACTTGTTTACTTACTTCCCTGCTTTTCAACTAAGTGAGTCAAAAAAGTATTTGTATTTTTTTGAAATGACCTTAAAGAGTCTCGATACTTGTAGAAATTGTTAAAATCCGTAACTTTTTCACTAATTTCTTTCTGAACCTGATTATTTTCGAAATATTTGAACTTAAACATGATTATGGAATCTTAAAGCCCTCCATAAACATGATTAAAATTAAAAACGAATTTAACCTCAAACTTAGGAACAGTGTTGCCATTCATTTACCATTGCCTTGTCGTTCATATGCGTATTATTTACAAATTGCCATTGCCCAATGACTGTGCCCAATGACCATCCCACGACCATCTTGCGACCATCCAACATCCATCCCATGACCAGCGTTGTTACAAGGGCAAAAATTTTTGTACTATAAATGGTGTCGAAATTGTACTTTTTTAAGTGGGATTGTACATTTTTGGTGCAAAAATGTGGGGTCATGTGATCTCTCCATTTACCCCATTTTTACCAAGTTTTGGTACGTAGGGTGCATCCACACTATCCTAAAAACAGCGGAATGGCGTATTGGCTTAACGACCTTGAATCGATTTCCTGCAATTCTATTGGCTGAAATTTTTGCCAGGTGAATTTGACAGATAAGATTTCTGACAGATGAATTTTTCAGCCAATAGAATTGCTGGAAATCGATTCAAGGTCGTTACGCCGATACACCGCCGCCGATCCGCTTTTTTTAGGATAATGTGGATGCACCCTCACAGAATTATACACCATATGCTGTCCTCCTTTCACGCAGTTGCGCAGCTCCTGAACTGTTCAAGAACGCGATACTCTCCCTCCATTCAATTGAGTCATAAAGTTCAGAACTGGTTCCGCGCCATATGGAGGCACCAGGCTATCTCGCACAGCTCCTTTCAGAACCGTTCTGAGCAACCCAGGGCGTAAAGCTCTGGAACTTGAAATTCGCAAATGGAGGACAGCAATACAGAAGCTACAAAGAGCTTTGAATAGCATTGGTTAAATGGGAACTCACAATAGATCTCTAAGGTCGCAGTGATTAGTCCCCCTCCTACTCACCGCCAGGGTTCGGAAGTAGTTAACTAAGACGTAATTTACCTGATTAAATACGTGTAGTTTTTCTTCAAAAACTACGTTTTTTCCCGTTCATTAACTACATGAAAACTACGTTAATAAACTATGTATTGATATTATGAATAGTTTTCCTTTGTATGAGGTGTAATAGAGATAATATGATGTAAATATTATATTTAAAGCCATATTTCTTCTGTTTTCTTAAATACATAATGTGTTTTTAAAGCTTCAATTTATTATAACCTCACCTCAAACCTTTGACATTTGAAAGTTACATACATAGGTTACATAAACTACATCCTCTACATAAACTACATTAACTACATGTAATGTAGTTTATGTAGTTTTTAAAAGTAACATGTAGTTTTCCGAACCCTGCTCACCGCATGGATATCAAACTTACCTTTGACATCCGTGCGGCTTGAACCATGCTTGAACAGCATTTCAAGTGATGTATAATTCTGGGCCTCTGCTCCTAGCGACCTGCATTTCAAATCCACGCATCGCGTATCACCGTTCGTCTAAAAATTTGTACGTGGGTTTAAGTTTGGGTTAGTTTGGGTTTGAGAAGTAAGAATTGTACATTTTTTCTTGCAATTGTACCTATGTACTCCTTGACTATCAAATGTACCCAAAATAGTACAATTGTACCTATTGTAACAACACTGCCCATGACTAAAGAGAATACAAGGACAAATAGCACCCGAGACCAAACCTGACCAACTGTGACCCAAAGATGATACTATATAGAGATAAGGATAGTTCGATGTTCGATTCCTATCTTCCTGCACTGTCAGTTTTTTTACGTCATCTACTGACCGAGTTGAAGTTGGCGCTAAAGATTTTAGACAGTGACAGTTATTTTTGCATTTGACGGACGAGCGCACAGTGCGTTGGAAGATAAATTTAGCGGGACAAAAGCATTTGGTTAGAAATAAGCCAAAAAATGTGTACTGATAAGAATAAATAGTAGACATTCCAATTGATACAAAAATGCATGAATATTTTTTGTATTTCGATACATTTTTATCAACCAAATTTGGTCGTTTTCTGCTCAGCAAGGCAGAGATCATACGAAAACAAAATATTTACAAGTCCTTATACATTTTATTAGAAAGCCAAATTATGTTGAAGATTGCCAAAGGTATGTACTTTTCTACTGTACGTATATTATTTGTTAAAATCCTTCGTGCCTTTGTTCTGCAGATATCAAACTTTCACTTTTTTTTCGAATATCGATATACTGAATGATGTAGATCTTTTGAGTTACCAACACAGGTAGTCACAGTCACAGGGAGTTCAAGCTTAACAGGTGAATGCCCAAAAAGATTAATTTCAATCGGATAGTATAAAAACAAAACAACTCCATCAAAAGGCACTGAGTGGAAAATTGTCTTAGATACTTACTATATATGAATTACAATTACCGAGTGTTAAAATTAAAATATCTATCTTATTTATTATTTTCAAAATAAAATATATTTTTTTAAAATAAATTATAGGGGGTGTCACAAGATTACAAATTAATTAAAAAAAACTGCTAATGAGTTTTTTGTGTATCATGTCCGAATAATATTATAGTTTTATTATCTTGTATTTATTTATTAATAAATTAAGTTGTTAATAAGTTTGCTTTTTTTTTGTTTTGCTTTTTTTGTTTTGCTTTTGCCATATAGTTGCTATATATTAGACAATTTGCTACGTTCTTAGATTTTAAGTCCCAAACATTGCTCTTGAGATTTTGTCCCGCTAGAATAACTATCCGCCGCACTGTGGAGCGCTGGTCAGCGCGTGACGTAGCATTCCACGGCGACTACGACAGCGGCGATTTGACGCGATCGAACAGTCGTTTAGAATATATACAGTCCTTGGCTGTGACATGGCTGTGACCGTTCTTCCAAACAGTGCCGTAGCACCAGGGTTGTTAAGTAGTTTATCTTTGTAGTTTATGAAGCAAAAAACTACGCCAAAAACTACGCGTAGTTTTTTGTATTAACTACGTTTGAAAATTTTAAAAACTATCTTCAAAAACTACACAAAAACTACGTTAAAAAATACCTACAAAAATATAGTAAAACATAAACAATTTAGACTTTAAACAAAAATCAAGCCAAATTCTTATCATGGAAGTATGAAGTTATATTATATTTGTATAAGTTAAACATCAGAAAAAAAGACAATTTTTTTTCAACAAAAGTGTTACGAAATACAAAGTAACATTGAACACAAAATAAACGATAAATTCTTATGGAGAAATTCTCCATAGACATTTTCCAGGAGAATATATGATTTTTTACATCTAAAGGCACCAACTTCATAATTTCCTCTCTTCGCAGAAGGTATGGAGCAAGGTATGGAGACTGGAGACATCGACGTCTTCCAAGCATTTTTAACAACTAAGTATCAAAAATGTCACATAATAAGGAACAAATTCACAAAATATAGATTTTTTATTTCGGTAAAGGTGTGGGTGGATCCGGTGGCTGACCTTGAAGCCCATATTTGCTGCATTTGATCATCGATACTACGCAAGCGCACATCGTCGATGTTGCCAAATTGCAGTTTATTTTCGAATTATTTGCAGTTGAAAATTTTTTTTTGAGTGTTAATCAATAATAATACAAACTCTATAATTAATTTTATAATTTCAGATTTATCTTGATATCCAAAATTAAGGTAAGAAGGATAATGAAGATTGTGAAATGAAAGTATTATGAATATATAAAATTGTAATAATAATAACATTTATTTATATTTACATTAGAATTAAAAATTATCATTTACGGACTTTTTCTTAATGGTTTTAAACTTGTTAGAATTATTTTATATCTTTCAAGTTATTAAATTTCTAGTTATTTACAGGCAACAATAGTTTTGATTATATGTATTGATGTATTGAAGTACTACCATGACGAGTCTTATACAGGGTCCGGCAATAGTGCGTCGGGCATCTGCAGCTCCCAGAATAAAAAACTTGAGAATTTTGTTTAAGTGCAGACCTAAAGTATGTACCAGGATGTATTTCAGGAAAATATTTTAATTTCTATAGGGTGGCTCAAAAAAGTGTGAATGGACCTGGATTATTTTTTTTAAATTGAACACCCTGTATATTATTGCATTTTTGGCTTCCTTTCAGATCACTTTACATAACCCTAAGATATGAATAAATATATTTCTATAATTTCAGAGATATTAATAAATAAATAAAAAATATATATTTTTCAGTCCTTTTCAAAAAAATTATTAAAAATACAAGAATTGTTCTGAAATCAAAACTATGTTAGGTATTTACTTTAAATGGTCTATTCTTACATTGCTATAAATATGGTAATCGTAAATCATACAGGATGTTCAATATTCTACGCCAAACTTTCTAAAATATAAAATAATTTTTCTTTGTTTTTTTAAATGGAACATCCTGTATATTATTTTTTTATTAGATGGAGAATTAAAAAATGAACATTTTTTGTATTTAAAGTATTTCAAAATTTTTAATGGTTTTCCGGATACACGCAGTATTATTTCATATGGCGCTTTCAATGGTAAAATACGAGAGAAAAATCATTGGGTGGCTTTGATAAAAATTTACTGTGGAAAATGCCATATGAAATATAAAACCGCAAATATCTGCGAAACCGTTAAAAATTTTGAAATACTCTAAACACAAAAAATGTTCATTTTTTAATTGTCCGTCTACTGAAAAAATAATATACAGGGCGTTCCATTTAAAAAAACGATGAAAAATTATTTTATATTTTAGAAAGTTTGGCGTAGAATTTTGAACATCCTGTATGATTTACGATTTTCATATTTATAGCAAAGTAAGTACAGACCATCTAAAGTAAATACCTAATATAGTTTTGATTTCAGAACAGTTCCCGTATTTTTAATATTTTTTTAAGAAAGGCTGAAAAATATATATTTTGATTTATTTTTGAATATCTCTGAAACTATCGAAATATATTTATTCATATCTTAGGGTTATGTAAAGTGATCTGATAAGAAGCCAAAAATGCAATAATATACAGGGTGTTCCATTTAAAAAAAATATCCAGGTCCACTCACACTTTTTTGAGCCACCCTATAGAAGTTAAAATATTTTCCTGAAATACATCCTGGTACATACTTTAAGTCTGCACTTAAACAAAATTCTCAAGTTTTTTATTCTATGAGCTACAGATGCCCGACGCACTATTGCCGGACCATGATGTATAGAACAACACACGTCAATGGGAGATAGAGGTAACATTTTACCTATAATGTTACTAATATAATATACTTTCGTTATAAATGTGGTTATAAACCAGCCTACACACGTGGCAATTTGCAGGGTCCAATCTGCAGGGAACAATATCGGGTTTTGTCTACACATGTCCCAATTTATCAGTAGGTTTAGTATTTTCTGCGTGCGTGTTTGACACCATTATAGCATTATGGCTCCCTCAAAGCGCAAAAAATCGGTATAGCATTGTCATTAGTGATTAAATTAAAAATTAAAGTTTTTAAGTTAAAGTTTAAAAAAAAATTAAAATTAAAGTCAGATAAAAGAAAAGAAAAAAAAGTTCTGGAACAACTGCATCACACACATTCCAATTTGCAGGGTATTAGGGAGGGGAGCAGGGCGATTGGATCGACGGGACATCCAACTAGCCGATATCGGGAAGTTATTCACGATTGCACTCCACACGATACAATTACGCCTCAATCTGTAAATTGCCACGTGAGTAGGCCGCTTAATGTTTGTATCATAATTTCTTAAAAATATCAAGTTAGTGGATTAATAGCAATTTTAGACATATATTTTATCGAAGAGTGTGTTGATAAGACTAAAATAAGCTTTATGTTTTATCTTTTTCTCTTTAGAAGGGAGATGGTTTGTGTCGTAGAATACATTACAGTATTTAATATCGTGTACTTTGATATTCTTTTCTTAATTTACTGTGATTTCTTGTTTCCTATAATGCCAAATCTTGACAATATGGTGAACGTTGAGTTTTGATCTTATTAGTTTTGTACCTGTGTTTACAAGACCAAATTAAGACTTATTAGTTTGTGATTATATTAAGATCTTTCTTATAATATTTGTTATGTCTTAATCTTAATACTCTATTATGCTTTGTATGGAAAATAAATGTTAAAATATCTTAATTTTGTATATCCTATTCCATCCTTCCATTAGCAAAAATATAGTTTATAAATCATATATGCTAAGAATATCACATAAATTAGTTGTAAGAATTGAGAAACCTTAAGGTAGCAGAAAAATTAATGCAATATATGTATAAGCAGAATTAAACAAAAGGTAACTGTTAATGTTGCTGAAGCTGATTCTACAATTTTAATTACGGAGGCTTAAAGGCCTTTTAAGGCCTCCGTAGTTTGTTTTGATGGAATGTTAAAAAAATATTATGAACATGACATGGAGCTCCCGAATTTTTAATAAAGCACTTTTTTAAACGTAGCATATAATAATCTAGAGCAATTAGATTAATTATAGGAATCTAGAGTTTTATTTATATTTAATTTTATTGACAATGAAAATACATAATAAGCGTTCACGTGTTGTGCGAAATATTAAAATAATAATATAAATAATATACCGCGTACTATGATTGAAAAAAAATAGCGTCAGCGATGACTATGAAATGAAGATGGCTGTCATTTTATATGGGAAATGTCCTCAATCGTCATTTCCCAGCCAACTGTATATATTGACAAAAAAACACTGAAAAGCACATATTTGTTTTCTACTGAAAATAATTCCAAAATAACTTGCAATCTGGCAACATCGAAGATGTGCGCATGCGTAGTGTCTCTGACTATATGCAGCAAAAACTCGTTTCAAGGTTAGCCACCGGATCCACACCATTACCTTTATTTCTTTAAATTGATCAACAAACAAAGTTTTTAGGTTATGTTTTCACTGTTATTTAAAAAAACTACATTAGTTACATAAACTACACATTTACTACTCGACATTTAAAAAACTACTTGTGACATGTAGTAAATGTAGTTTATTAATTACTACGTGCAGTTTAACAACTCTGGGATCCACACATTTACCCTTTTGTAATAAATTATACATATAGTACGCCACAGCCATGAAGCCACAGCTCTAGTATCATGGCCACAGTTGTTCTACATCCGCTTTTGTCAAAAACTCTAAACGTGATACGTGATTGGTCAAGCTTAATAGTTGCCTTGCTGGGGCTAGACTATGGGCTAGACACAAGACATGCACAAGACACAAGTCTTTGCTCAGATCAGAGCATGCTCAGAGCTTTGCTTTTTGCTTAAACCAGAGACAACTTGGAGACAACCACTATAAAACACCAGGCAGGTAAACTCCAAAAAATACTAGTGAAAATTGAGTGAATATAACTTCATATCCTGTGTCCTGTGCTCTGTGCTGTCCTGTGTCCATATCACAGATCAGAAGCGCATCACAGATACAGAAAATTATTATTTCTCTGTTTGCTGTTATTACACCATGCCGAAAATTAAAAAAGTTATTATAGACGAGGATAAACCTGTTTTATGTAAGTAATAAAAAAATAAATGTTTTTGTTTCTGATTTGTGTACGGTTTAGTTGATTTCCAAAATGGCAAAATAAAAGTTAACGAACATAACAACATCCAATTAAGCATATTCAAGGACAAAAGCACACAAAAAAATGTATTGGGTGTTGCTAATAGTAAAATGATATATTCAGGAGTAATAGACGAAGATAATCTCTTTTATAAATTTCTGGCAATCAGTAGGAGAGAAGGGAAAGAGGTATTTATTCTTTTTATAGAAATATGCATTTTTAATATAGGTACCTTGATATTTTGAGCTCGAACTTATTCAAGTGGACACTTGTACATTAACTCCATTAATAAAAGAAAAAGCGATAACGTCGTCTCCAATTACACCACAAACTGTTGCAGATTTAAAAAAACACTTTGGCTCTAAAAAGGCAAAAAGGTTCACCGAACAACAAGAAAGGTTAACCATGAACTTTGAAAATGTAAAAGAAAGTTTAGAAAACAGTATTGCAAGTAAATATAAAACCTTGATTTTAACACAAGCAAAAATTATGTTAATTAATTAATTTTAGATATCAGTGTGCCAGATATTGCATTTCAGCAACCTGATGAAAACTATAGTATTTACAGACCAAGAATTGATAGAAATGCTAGTACGAAAGAACAAGTTTATCAATTATCACATCTGATACCCATTGAAATCTTAGATACACTTGAAAAAAGAGCAATAGAATTATTAGAATCAGACAAGATAAAAGACTTCAGGTGACTGATTTATATTTAATTTTACTTATTGTATGTAGATTCATTGTACTTATTTTAGTTTAACACCAACAGTTGAAAAGTCTATTATTACTTTAAAATCTTCTCCTTTGGATAAAGAAACGTTGTTGAAGAAATGTAAAATATTGTTGTTTATTCACTGTTTAATAAGTTTTATGAACACACCTTTGAAAAAAATTACCAAAAAATACAATACATGTGATTTTTCATCTGAAATTGATAAGCATATCAAGCAAAATTATATGGTTAGCGGGTAAGTTAGCTTTAATCTAGACTTTAATGTAATAAATATCGTTGGTATACAAGAAAAAGCGACATTGAAAGTCCATTATCAACAGAGCTGCAAGCTCTTGGAAAACTTAAGTCTTTTTTTGACCTAAATCATTTTAATGACGAATTTTAAGTCATATTTCGAAAGCTGACCTAAGACTTAAAATTTAAGTCATTTTCAAAATTACTTATGATTTAAGTCTTTATTCCGAAATAGAGAAAGATTTAAGTCTTATGAGATTTAACTCTTTTTATAAAAGATTAAGAGTCCATTTCACTAGTCCAAAAAAGTAGCAAAATAAGCTTGCGGCATTTACCGTTTTATGTCAAACTGGCTAGGTATTTTTACAAAAACGAAGAAGGAAATTAAAGATAAAGGATTATACTAAATCTATCGTGTAGCACATTTTTAGATAACTTGTTCATTTTTAAGATTTTGATGGTCAAACATCAACAAAATAAACGTTATGTTTGAACTAAATTTTCTCGAAAATCAAAATATAATTTAAAATTCTGTTACAGGAGGGAAATAGATTGAAGTTTTGTGATTACAGTGATATATAATTTATATGGTTTTGTAACAAATTGCTCGCTATTTTATGGCAAATGCTGAAGCTCTGCAAGCCCTAATCTAAGGAATTTAAAAATTATATTTTTTCACTGAAAGCACGTGCGTTTGGAATTATAGGTGTGGTTTAACACGACAGGATCGGGCTAAGGTTTAGGCAGATCTCTGAAATCTAATACATATAAAAAATTTTCGTGTCACAGTTTTAGTTACCGTATTCCTCCGAAACGGCTTAACCGATTTTGATGAAATTTTATATGCATATTCAGTAGGTCTGAGAATAGGTTGTTATCTATTTTTTATACCCTTAAGTGACAAGGGTAGCCCACCCCTTTTTTATTTTTTTGGGCAAAATTTTTAATTTTTCTTTTGTACGATGTGGCATTAAAAAATACATACAACACTATATTTTCACTTTCAAATAAGGTTTTTTTTTTAATTTTTTGTTACCGCAGGGTTACCGAGGAAGACTCTGTATATTGTTACATTTTTGGCTTCCTTTCTGATCACTTTACATAATCCTAAGATAAGATGTAAATATATTTGGATAGTTTCAGAGATATTAATAAATAAATAAAAAATATATATTTTTCAGTAAGTTACAAAGTAAGTTGATAAAATATTAAAAAAATAAAATGAAGGTACAATCAAGGTACTTATCATATTTTTATGCAATTGTCTCAAAAGTTTTAAAAATCGATTTTTAAGAAAAAACTAGTTTTATAAAAAGTTCATTACTTTGTGTACTTGACTTTTGAGACACCCTGTATAATTTTTTTACATATTATGATGCTTCTAGGCTCATACATTTGGAAATTAGTTAAGGTGTGACTTTGACCTGAATCTGCGAAAATATGATTTTTATGTGGGTTAATATTGTAACACCCTGTATAAACCATTTCCTATGCACTAATAATTGTTAATTTTTTCATATTTTGTATTGACTTTGTAATTTTAACACATATTGAATAATATCTACGAGCAAAATAATTTTTCCATAAAATATAGTCCACCGTTAGGATTTTGTGCGCCGTTGACCCTGGATTTATCGAGAGATTCGCAAGTGCAAGTAGTCGATGCATCGCCTTCTGTTAGTTTAAAAGCTACCTCGTCTCTTCGGATTCCCCGCAGGTGTTATAGTTTGTCTAGGGAAGGGCAGCCTTAAAACAAAATCAACGTCGCCACCGCACCTTAAAAGAATCAATCACAGGAATCAATTCAGAATCCAGCACATTAGAAATATCAGTTTGCATGGGGAACAAAAGAATAAAACAATATCTCCATAAGTAAAACAAACCAGGTCATTGGTTTGTAGTCGGGGAATCCCAGCCGCTCGCCAATCATAGGCAAAACAAACAAGATCACTGGTTTAAGGCCGGGGAATTCCGGGAATTTTAACTAGCCTTCTTTAATGTTAAATTATATATTTATATTTATATTATGTATAAAATATAATATTATTGTGTTATGGTGTATAGTATAATTAGTATATATTGATAAAGGTCGCATAACCTGTTAAGACTATTAAAAACCCGACAATTCCACTACTCGGCAGCCGAGTACTCGGTGCTCTGTCAAGTTAAAAAACAGGGCTCGTTACAGCCCTAACTGTCATACATTTCTAATATTTCTACATAAATTGAATTACGCTTATTTATGTGTGAAAATTTACTATTTTTTTGTCACCGAAAATCGTTAATATCACAGTTAATATGTTATTTTGTTTGGTTTACATGTTTTCATACATAATTATATACTTTTAAAGCTTTTTAGCTAGGGATTTTAGGGATTTTAGTTAAGTATCTATCTATAATTTGAAGAGCGGCACATACCGATATTATAATTTTATACGTTATCAATTAGAATCCGCTAAAAATACTGTAATATATGAAAGGAATTTATATTATATTATATAGCATCGAGATAAATAAATAGACCGCTCAATAAACAAACTCGTGCATCGAAAATCATCAAAGACATTGTGCTCACACGCGGTTGTTTACAAACGATTTTTATTTTTGAAATATTTTTTAAACCGCTTGACTTAAATTGTTATGCCCGTATTCTGCTAGAAATTGTTATATGTATAAACAAAGCAATTTCAAAGAGGTATATTGATTATATGGAAGTCGATGGAAATTAGTTTTTGTTAAAAAAAACACTTAACTATTATTATCAGGTTCAAGGTAACTTAAATATTGCGTCGAAAGATAAATGTTACAGCGCTTTCAGATGGAGCGGACCGTCCGCGACTTCGAGCAAGTACCATGAGTTTATATGAACAATTTCAGATGGGTCGCGTATGCTCCGTGTCCGGATGATTTCGTCCGACGGCTATCTTGAAAAAACACGCGGACTAACAGTGCGGACGCTCCGCTCCATCTGAAAGAGCTGTTATTTTTTGGTTGGGACTATGATTGGGACACCGGTCCGGTCTCACCGGAAATGACTACAATTTTTGATTTTTAAATTGCACCCTCGGTATTTTTTTACTTTATTCGATAGAAAATGACACTCTAAATAGAATGGCATATCATATGTCAACTTTTGACATTTTCGCATATGGTTTATTTGAAATTATAACATGCGGTTCATAACGATAATTTGACTCGAAATACCAAGTGTCTGGTATCAAATTATTCGTAAAAAAATGCTTTTTCCAAATATGCTTTTTCCAAATATGCTAATGAGCCACCCTCGTTCCATTTGAAAAAATTGAGATATGATTAAAAATATGATTTGGGCATCTTTTAACCGGCCAGAACAAGACATTAAAAACATTAAACGATCAAATCTATTTTTCCAAGAGTCCTTGATTAAAAAGTAGTGTTTTTATGATAGCCATGGCATTCTAGATTGAAATTTAAAGTACATTTTGTTTTTAAGCGAATATGTCAAAAGTTTACATATTATGATATGTCATTCAATTCAGAGTGATATTTTCTATCGAATAAAATAAAAAAATATCGAGGGTGCCATTTAAAAATTAAAAGTTGTAGTCATTTCCGGTGAAACCGGAAGTGACCGTAAACAATTGTATATGTCAATCAATCCTAATTTATGTCATATACTAACATACCAAATCTCATTTTTTTATCTGAAAAAATAAAAAAATTAACCCGGTATATGCACGCACCCCGGTGCTGCCACCGCCCGAGAATATCGTAAATAACGAACACATACAAATACACGGGTTTAAAGGGCGAGTAAACGAAAAAATTAGTATATAATTATACTAAAAGTGTTAGAAAGTATAATTTGTGGAAATTCTAAACAAAAAAATAAAAAGGTAAATATTTTGATATTTGAAATCTTCAGAAGGTCTAACTTGCATTATAATTTATTATGCCAGTTAAAAAATTTTTTTAGATGAATTCAACTACGGTAGCGAGCATAGTTTTATCACCGGTTTTGCTAGTGGGGCATAATTGGAGCTATTTCGGCTATAACGACATTTTTTAAAGGTACATAATTATAATTTTAGAAGATGTTCATAAAACATTTAATCACTAGTTGATTAAAACAGTATACCATTAATATTGCTAATTATATTTCATGCTCTCATAGTACATGTCTTTAATTTTTTGATTATGTAACGAGCACTTTGTTTACTCACTTATTTCGTCGAACTGCTTGAATGCATTTTTGCTATTGACTATTGGTCAAATCGGTGTAAGAAATTATGAAGCTATAAAATGTTGTTTCGGGAGAGTTGAATATCCGGTAAAGTTGAGTTATTGAATGTTATTGCACCCAAAAACGCCCTAATTATGCTGTCCTTTACGCTTTAACATTTTTTTGGGCAATTTTATTAACATTTGAAATTGTCACAACACAACAAGACGCCTAGTTCGAATTCTTTTTCACTTATTTTTTACTACCCGAAACAGCGTTACATCACACAAACCTCGTACCTGAGTGTTTTATAGTCTCAATAACTGCACTATCAAAAAACTAAAATAATTAAATATTACGACAAAACCCCGATTTCAATATTATTTTAATGCGATCGACATTACGGCGGCGCACAGTAGAACGAGCTTATGGGAGCGGTTGGACATGAGGTTTTCTCTCAACACTTTTAATCCAAAGGACGAAAAAATGTATAAACAGAACAATTTTAAATTTTAATGAAAGAAAGTGGTTGACTCATTACAAACCATCTACAGGGTGACCTAAAAATATAGTATGTTTTGGAAAAATCTTAGAATTTTAAATGCTAATAAACTTTGCAAAACTGTCGTGAAATGTTTTAGTTTTGATTCTTTTAAAAAGAAATATCTTTAGATTTTACCACTGAAATCTAGGACTACTGATACCGTATTATAAAAATATGACGCATATATTTATATGTATATTGCTTATGACACTGCTTATATTTTCCTATTTAATATAATTTTGCTAATATCTTCGGT